AAAGTTACTGGAAGGTGATCAGAACCGAAGTCAGCATGGGTAACCAATTGGCTACAAAGATGACATGAATCAGTTAAGACCAAATCAATAGTTGAGGGATTTCTTGCAGAAGAAAAGCATGTTGGGCTGTTTGGATATTGAATAGTGTAATAACCTGCAGAACAATCATCAAACAGAATATTACCATTGGAATTGCTTTGAGCATTATTTCATGAGCGGTGTTTTGCATTAAAATCACCAATAATGAAGAATTTAGACCTATGACGGGTAAGTTTCTGAAGGTCACCCTTGAGAAAATTCTTTTGCTGGCCTACGCATTGAAATGGCAAATAGGCAGCTATAAACGTAAGTTGTCCAAATTTTGTTTCAACAGAAACTCCCAAAGTTTTAAAAACTTTGGTTTCAAATGAAGAAAGTATTTTGTGTTTGATTCGTCTATGAATAATGATGGCAACGCCACTACAGGGTCCATCAAGACGATCATTTCTATAAATTAAATAATTTGAGTCCTTCTTAACCTTATGGCCAGGTTTAAGGAACGTTTCAGTTATAACGGCAATATGCACGTTATGAACTCTCAAAAAATTAAATAGCTCGTCTTCATTATCTTTAAGAGATCGAGCATTCCAACTTAAAATGTTTAATGCTTTAAAATCCATTACTGCATTTTAAAGTCATGACAATATTATTTGCAAATTTTACTCCAGTTTGAATAGCATCAAACATGGAGTTAGATTTAAGCATATCAGAAATCATGTCAATTAATGAATTCTGTAAAAATTCCATTTTGGGGGCAGTAATGCTTCCTAAGTCAAAATTGTCAAAATTTCCGTTAGAACGGTGGTTAGTATTTTGATTTCTACCCGCTGCAATAGCAGCATAGGTAGCTCCATTAACTCGCTGAACATTGTTAGCAGCGAGGGGAGTAGGTACAGATGAAACATTTGAAGCAGGGGAGATATTTGTACCTACGGGTACGAATGTAGAATTTGTTCCTCGCTGACCGTTGTTAACAGCAGAGGAATTTGTACCTGGTCGGAAACGTGGAGCGTTTCCTACCTGACGGTTAGAACGAGATTGTAGGATCGCTTTGCGAGTCTTACATTCCCAAAAATTGGATTTGTGGTTTTCACCACAATTTGAACATTTAAATTTCTTAGGATCTTCCTTCACAGGACAGTCGTCCTTTGCGTGAGAGGAATCACCACAATTCATGCATTTAGCTGGCATGTAGCAATTTTTAGTTCCGTGACCCCATCCCTGGCACTTACGGCACTGGGTGAGGTTTTGGAAATTTCCTCCAGTCTTCCTGAAGTGTTCCCACTTCACTCGGACATGGAGCATAAGGCTAGCTTTTTCTAAGGCCTTAAGGTTGTTTAGTTCACTAGATTTGAAGTGAACTAAATAAAAATCATTAGAAATTCCGTTGCGCGAATCGCCAGGACGGGATTTCATTTTCATTTTGATTACTTGGAGTGGCACAACTCCAAGTAATTTTGCCAGTTCATCTTTGATCTGATCCAGGGATTCACCACTGGGCAGTCCTTTCATGACAACCTTGAACACACGTTCAGTTTTGGTGTCGTAAGTAAAAAATTTGTGCTTCTTCTCAGTAAGATACTTGAGAAGACATTTAAATCCGTCCAAGGTTTCAGCCAATACACGGCATTCACCCCGACGTCCAATTTGTAGTGAAAACTTAACTTTCACGAAATTCAAAAGTTCCATGCGAAGAGCATGGAAATCGGTAGTGGTTATCACAATAGGGGGAATCTTTTATTTATTTATTTATTATTAGTCGTCAATCAGTGTAGACCGTTTTACAGTTTTACTTAAACGCTAATTGTTACAATTTTACTTCAATTACTTGCATAGCATTTATATTTTATTATTGATGCCTAGCTAACCTCGTGAAGAAAGTTTTTTTAAGCGTACTTTTATTCATTGTTATGTCAATATATTCACAGTATGTATTATAGCAAGACATCATTCTATTCAATGGGCTGTTTTTGGCATAGTCTGTTCTTTGATTGTTGATGCTAAACAAATTTCTATTCCGCAGTGAGCGAGTGGGAGCATAAAAATTGATATTTTCCAAAATCTCTGGACTGTTAACTCTTTGCGAAATCACATCGTTTATAAAAGCAATCATTGCGAACTCTCTTCGCTTTTTGAGCTCATCTAAATTAATTAGCATACAACGCGATTCATAAGATGGAAGTGGAAAACTCGTCCAACCCAACTTTCTTAGAGCGAACAACAAGAACTGCTTTTGAACTGATTCAATGCGGTTTACATGTGTATCATGATATGGAGCCCAAACTATGCTACAATATTCGAGAAGAGGCCTCACATATGCTACGTAAAGTGTTTTGATTGTGTAGGGATCATTGAAGTGCAAACTAAATCTTTTAATGAACCCGAGCATGTTGCTTGCTTTGTAGATAATGTTATTGTAGTGATCAGCAAAAGTTAACTTGGAGTCGAGGATAACACCTAAGTCTCTGACTTGATAGGATCTTTGGATTGTTTTCTGGCCAAGAGTAATTGTGTCGTGTATTACAGCTTGCTTTCTTGTGAACGATATAGAATTGCATTTATTAATATTTAGTTCTAACAAATTTTTCTTACACCATGTGTAAAAAACGTCAATTTCTTGTTGAAATATTTGAAGATCAGGTGCTTTAGATATCTCCATGAAAAGTTTCATGTCATCAGCATATATAGAAACATGAAGAAATTTAAAAATATGTTCTATATCGTTGACAAATAAAATAAACAGTAATGGACCAAGATGTGAACCTTGTGGCACACCAGATGTTACATTAACTATGGTGGACAGATTTCCTTCAAATCTTACCTTTTGCGTCCGCCTTGATAAGTACGACTCGATCCATTTCAGTAGCCTAGGACTGAAGCCTAATTTGGATAGCTTAAAAAGCAAGAGTGGTATATCAACTCTGTCAAATGCTTTACTGAAATCAGTATATAGCGTTTCTACATAATTTCCTTTATCCATTGCGTTTAAACAGTATGACACAAAATGTATCAAGTTGGTAGTTGTAGATCGTCCTTTAACAAATCCGTGCTGTTTGCTAGTAATTACCGACCTAATCTGTAAGAATACATTGTCATTAATGATGGATTCGAATAATTTAGGAATGCTTGATAATATAGCAACTCCACGGTAATTTTTTACATCAGACTTTTTACCACTTTTAAAAATTGGAATTAAAAATGATTCCTTCCAAATCGGAGGAAGTACACTCGACTCCAAGGATAAATTAAACAGCCAGAACAAAGGTTTTGCTAGCTCCTTCGAAAGTGACTTTAAAAAAATAGGTGGTAAACCATCCGGTCCAGCACCTTTTGAAGCATCCAAGGTTTCAAGACCACGTATAATTTCCTTGAGAGTTAAATTATCCACTGCGATGTTCTTCATTGGCTCGGGGAGATACGAAAAATATTGATAATCTCGCTCATTCTCATCATGAATTGTATAAACGTCCTGAAAGAAGTCAGCAAATAAGTTACTAATCTGACTAGGAGTATTGCCCAACTTACTGTCTAATTGCATTTTGGATGGAAAGCTCTTGGATTTTTGCCTTTCTTTAACATAGTTAAAAAAGGATTTTGGGTCTGACTTAATGTTAGTTTCAATCTTTCTATTGTGCTCTTCATATGCATTTTCAATTTCTAAATTAAGTTGGTCACAAATAGTAAGATAATAGGTAAAATTTTCATCATTTTTGTTTCTCTTGTACGCTTTATGAGCTTTCTGCTTTCTGTTTCTAAGATTTATTATCTGTCTATTGTACCATATTGGTGTTTTTGCATTGGCTTTTTTCTTTTGCTTCATGGGCACTGTCTGTTCTAGAATAGAATAAATAATCTGATAGAATACATCAACTGCATGTTCTGTATCATGACTACGGATTACAAGTTGCCAATCTATACTGTTCAATTTATTTTTGATAGCTCCATAGTCTGCCTTACTGAAATCGAAATAGGGGTCTGACAAATTATTATCCACCATTGCGGTTTTTTCAAGTATCATTATGGAATATTCAATAGCAGTGTGGAACACTTCATTTTTCCAAAGAGGAGAAGGTGACTCTGATACGCAAAAATCGTCAGTCATGGTAGTAAATAGCAAATCTAAATAGCAGTTATTTTGATTTTTTATATGATTTACTTGATTCAATCCAATTTCTGCGCATTTTTCAAACAAAGTATGAAGTGTTTCATTTTGCCCCATAATCGGAATCAAAATGGATTCATTTTCGTCATCTACAATAAAATTAGCTGCCCGTTGATTAAAATCTCCGTATATGTGAACGTTTGCTTCAGCCTCGAATTCCGACATAATACTGCTAGCAAGACCAAAAAATTTTTCAAATGCTTCTTTTTTAGCATGTTCTGGTGGAAAATACACAACCGCGAAAATATGAACACGATCACCAATAATTAATTTGACCCATACATGGTCAAACTCCTTGTTCTTGCAAGATGAAATTTGCTCAGATTCATACTCCACGCTAACTGCTATTAACACACCTCCACCGCATTTTTTGTTGGATAATAATTTATCGCGATCATCTCTATAAACATTAAAACGATCGCCAAAAACTTCTTCGTTATTAATACTAGAATCCCAACTTGTTTCTGTTCCTAAAATCACAGGAAAAGTGCAAGCATTAACTTTCTTGTAAATCTCATTCACTTTGGTGGCGCTTCTCATTCTATTAAAATTCTGACAGTAAATGACCAACTCCTTACTTTCATCATTACGATGCAATTCCAAATTTTGTGCTTCAGTACTAGGCGGCAAACTAAAACTATTTAAATTAATTACCTCTCCTTCCTGCTGTCGAGAGGTCGTCAAATCGTGAAAGTTGTCCAGTTCTTCAAAAACATTGTCATCGTTGGGACTTTCCTCTAGATGACTCGTCAATTTAGTCGAAAACACGAATGCCTGCATGAACTTGAACATGCCTCACATGCAGTAGCTGAAATCATCCGGTTAGGCGCAGGAATGGTACATGGAGATTCGCGCTCCGGATATGGGTTTAGAATTTCACCTCGATGAAATTGCATCGTTGGACGATAATTAGTCGGTGGCCTGGAGAAGCGATCTTTCGCTACTGCAAGAAGCTCTCTATCAGACGGAAGTAAGTGGGCGCGATTCAGTCCAATGTTTCTGCGATTGATGTCACTATTATCCCTGTTACGACTGTTGTTGTAGAAGTAAACATCGTAGTTGTCGTTTCTGCTTTGATTTTGGTGCTGGTTGTTGATTTTGTTATTGTTGTAGTTGTTGTTGTTGTTGCTGTTGTTGTTGTTGTTGTTGTTGTTGTTGTTGTTGTTGTTGTTGTTGTTGTTGTTGTTGTTGTTGTTGTTGTTGTTGTTGTTGTTGTTGTTGTTGTTGTTGTTGTTGTTGTTGTTGTTGTTGTTGTTATTACGGATGTTGTTGTTACGGATGTTGTAGCCTAAATTTTGACGTGATGTGTTCTGCTTCCTCCATTTTTTAGCCTTGTCAGCCAATTTTTGCTGACTCAAGCGGCGCGATACACGAGCGTCGTAGTCCGTCCAATCTGGTCTCCACACCTTCCGGGTACCAAGAAGTCTCCATCCTGAGTCAGTGGCATCATTATTGTTGTTATTTTTATTTGTATTGTTTATTTCTGAGTCCAGGCTGGGACACAAATCCGGAGACAGAGTCAAAGGTGCAGTACTATGTACTGTCATAATGTTTGCTGATAATGACTTCAGCTCGTCCAGAATGTCCAACTCTAACATTGGATTATTGCGCATTGGAGCACTAGTTGTCAGGTCCATAGTGAGACTTGAGATTTTATTAACTTCATCGCTTAAACATCTCAAGTCACTTGATATACCTAACGTCATCGCTTGTAATGACGTCGATATGCTTTTATTGGATGCCTGCATTGCCATATCATTTAGCGATGTCATATGGTTCTTAATGGCAATAACATTTCCAGTAGAACCGCTGCTTTTATTCGCTGCCAGCTCTTTTTTTATGTCGGTGAGCAGAGTGTCGAGGTGATCGATCGCTTTATGCACAACATCAACATTATTTTGCTGAGCGGAGCGATGTGTGACTTCTGAGTTATTATTTATTATTTCGGTTAGTTTCGCCTGCTGATCGATTAGCAATTTGAAGTCAAAGTTCATTGTGACTAGCACTTGACACGAACTGCAGCACGGTATGACATAAGATTGAGTGTCAATCTTTTTGTCATTTTTACGAAGCGAACCACGTTTTACAGGCACTCCCACGCAGGCGGCATGAAATGTGCGCGTACATCCGACGCATTCCCACATTACCGTTTCGACGGAGGAATCAAGTGAGCAAATTTCACAACTCATTTTGAACAAAAACAGTACACAAGACTAAAAGCGTAGCGTATGCAAAAATAAATACCACGAAAACGCACGTGGTTAAGAGCGAATTGAAAACGCGACTGCACTGATTGACGACACGATGAACATCTTCTTGGCATTAAGCCGGGAAAGTTTACTAGAATTTTTCTTGGATGATGGATCATTCTCATCATCCGTGAGCAAATCAAATTGATTACTCAAATTAATTTCATCAGAAGGGGGGTCAAGAGTTTGCCCCTTTCTTTTGCGTTTAGGCGCCATGGCGGCAGTAAATTTTTATCCAAATCGACTTCCAAGCAGATTACTATAAGAATCTGAAGGATCGAAGAGGAATTTTCCAAATCGATATCCAAGAAGGATTACCTCGGGTAGGGTCCAAACAAGGATCGAAGAGGAATAAGAGTTGAACAAGGTAGAAAATTTTTACAGGTTGAGCACTGCTGTAGCTTTAGGTAGTAGTAACACTTCCTTCAGCAAAAAGCAAATAGATCCGCACGGCAAGAGAGCACGATGCGGACTGCTTCTTAAAAATAATGATTTTGAGCATTGCACAGTGGTCCAGAATGCAGATTTAGGTGGAATGATATGTTTTGAGCCTGAAATTGAATCTTTAGACTAAAAGTCTCTTCTACAAAGTTGTTCCTTATAGTTATGCCCTCATTTTTATGACAATGAATTCTAGGGTGGTTCATATTATAATTAAAATAAAAAATCTAACTTATTTGTTTGAATAAATTATGGTATACATTTTCCGGCAAAGTTATAGCTAAGCTAGTTTCAAGCAACTTTGTAGAAAACAACTTTTTTGTATCTCTTAAATTGGCTGATTTAGATCTATTTTCTTGAATTGAGTTAGGGTGGCTCTAAAAAAACAGTTGTTTTGCTCTAGTTTTCTTATTTCGAATTTCTCAGCAAAGGTGTCTTCAAATAACTTTTAGATCTTAAGAAGGCGCAAATTTTTGTCCCGCAAAGCTTGTCAATATCTTTCGTCGATCAAGAGTAATTGACGTTTTTATACTAAAAATATGCACTTTTCAAATGTTAATATCTCTGGTTGGGGCAAACAAAAAAAAAGTTTTTCTACGGCATTTGTATGTTATTCTCAATAATATGAAAAAATTGGAGGTATGCTATTTTTTTAAACTCGTATAAAATCAATTTGAATTTATTCATATATTTTACTATATTCGGGTATATCTTTTTTATTAGAAGAGGTACAGACAAAAAAATGCTATAAAACATCCGTCTTAAAGAGTTTTAAAAGTCTCTAGAAGATGAGTTTCATGAGAAATTTCAATTTCGTCTGATTGATTAGTCAGTTGACGTAACGTATTGGCTTAACTTTGTTCCCTCTACTTTCCATTTACTTCTTGTTTTGATTACTTTATAGTCCAGTGCAAGTCTATCGGTATCCTTCAGTGCATATCTCAGGAAATCATGATGATACAGTAGTAGAAATTCTTCAGTTATTATGATTTCCATAAATTAAATGTGATGATCACCTTTGTCAAATGATGTAAATATTATTATCATGTGCATCCATAGAATTGGAGCTTTACAATACCAAAATACCGATATTTATCAAATGTCCCGATGTTGCAACCCGTGACGGAAGGGTCAAATATGCAACTCGCTCGCATATTGCCTAACAAGTTTAAGATATGAGTTTAGAAACGGTTAAAACCTGAACTATAACAAGTAGGGTTAATGTCCCTAATGTCCCTTATATTAAGCCCATACATAAATTTCGAAGGAAAGTATTTTTTTTACTAGTAACCAAAAATTTCCATTTGTTTCGTCCGAGAAAAATTGAAAAACATGAAATTTTTAGCGATGGGCCCAATCTTAAGATCCTTTGCCAACATTAGAACCATTTCCATTACTTTTTGTGTTTTTATCTCACAATACTACCTACGGCTACGCATATTCGTACGTTCGGCGACAAAAATACACAAGCAATTACTCTTGAGCATCACAAGTGAACACCCTGCCATCGTAGAAGAACCGGTGCCAGTTATCGTACAAACAAACGATGTTTTGATTCTAAATTTGAACACGGAAGCTCACTGATAAAAATACACCCGGCTCGAAGGGAGCAACAATCGGTCCCAATTTCTTCACACGTGCTCTTTCAACGCAACAGGCTTCCCCATATGTCCACTGCGTGGGTGACTTTTCACTATCTGTTAGCCCATTTCGAACTAATTTCAAATCATACTCTTGAGCCGCTCGTTCACGTTGCCTTCAAATCCTCCAACACATTGTAACTGATTTATTTATATCTCTCGTCGAAAAAACAAATAGACAAAGCATTTATCGCACTGTCAGACGAAAAAAAAAAACAAATTCACTCTCGCACTCGACGCATCGCACCACTCTAGTGCGTTTCACAATGCGTTTTTCGTCGTATGCAGCTCGTCTTTTTGAAGGAACGTATATTTTCCACTAGTTTTCAATCTTCTTTTTCCCACATTGCATTTTAGTGAGTAATAAGTTACACTGAAGAACAGCTGTTACTTCTATCTAGATGGACTTTTCCCAGTCACAACACAAATCAATGTGCCTAGTTATAACTCCAACCGATAAACTTAATTTGACAGGTTTAACAAGCACTTCACATGAACCATTCAAGATCAACCGAACCGCAAGCAATCGAACTCAAAGATGATGGAATCCAGCTGAACACTTAGAGTTATCAAATTGCGCGAAACGTGGAAACCAAAGTCCAACACAAGTAATATCGCATGTAAAAATAATCACACCCACTTACAATGAAACACAAGCCACAACTACAAAAAAAGCAATAAATTTTCCAATTCGTCCCGTTTTTCTTCTTTCTCTCTTTTTACGAGCTCAGAAAGTAATAATCCAGTGAGTTGAACCAACAGGCCGAAAATCGATTTTCCCTAGTCGGACCGAAGCACGAGAAGCACACGTTTGCGCCGGGCAAAGACATTCACGCAACTGAGTGGTAAAGCAGTGGTTTTTCCACACTTGAGGAAAATCGTCTCCCAGCAATTGAGTGCGGCGTTTGCTGAATAAGATGAACTCTGAGCTTGTGGTGATTTTGGTAAGACGAAACTTTAGAGAAATTGAAGATTCAAACCGGGCGGCATAGAAACTATAGAATGCTGATGCTCGACTAGGAAACGGTGCGTTGAGGTGAAATTTAGCGGAACATTGTCTGCTATGCCCATAAAGCTTCCTGCTTGAATACAAACTGTCCTCGACAATGAGAACAGCACTTGATTAATACAGTAATGACCCAACTTTGCCAGCCTTCCCTTTTTGAAATTATTTTCTAATTTTCTACGAAACCCATGCGCGTGTTTAGTGGTCTTATTGCACAACCCGTGATTTGCCTCTATTTTTCGAACGGGTTTGAACAAAAAATTGAATGTTCCATACAATTCGATGAGATATTGTTAAAAATTTAACACTGCTTCTGGATTCCTAATTCGTCCTACGAGTTTCAATTCCGTCCTAACACATTGAAACGCCATTAGATTTTCTTTATCCTATGGATAAAGGCAGAGAAAAATGAATTATCTAGGAGCACTTCTTTTGTTTTTGAGAACAATGGGTGTAAACATGCGTACTATGCCCTCTTATAGGGTTTGTCTTGTAGCTTTTGAACTAAAACATCTAAAAAATTGGTGGGGTTGTGTACAAGACACGACCGGATGGTTGACGTAGACTACGTTAAGCTGTGTAGTGAAATTCTAGTAGAACAGTAGAAGTAATCTATGATTTCGGTCCTATGTACATATTTTGGATTTCCTACTTAGTAAAACTTGGTTAAATTCAGGAGCTCATAAAAATGCGAATACATGTTCTATAACATTTGGTTCCTAAATTACAATCAGATATGAGTAAGGCTTTCTTCAGGTGATTCATTGAAGCGTCCAAAAATGACCGTCATGATGGCTGATATTCCCTATCACTTCAAGATTTCTAGGGCACAAAGTTCCAGTTTCTTTATTATAAGTTTTGTGAGAGCTGATATTTGTACTCTTGAAATTTTTATGTGGTAATGAGATTTATCAGAAATAAGGTTTCCACAGAAATTCAAAGCGATGCACACACACAAACGGAGTGCACAATTTTGCACCAATCTCGATTATCAATAAATCCCTCTTTACTAAATATTGTTGTTTGGCTGTTTTTTTTTAAGATTTCGTTTGCGTTATGGCATAACACTGGACGTTTCTGTGGTGGGAATAAAGTGACTTCCACATGTATCACAGATTACAAATTCGACAGTGAGCATACATAAGGACGTAGCCGCAATGATCGATTTTCTCATTTGTTAATATCTCGCTTGGATTATCATTTCTCGGCGTGTTTGCTGTTGTTTTTTATAGCCAATAAAACCTGTTACAGCACTACATTGAAAAATTTCAGATAATATTCAAGCTGAACATTGCATTAGGTCCTAAGTAACATTGATCGATTCTCTTCGTCGATTTTCTCATTCGTTCGGCTCGCCAAGATGTCTCTAACAGGCTAGATCTCGACTATTGCAATTTAATTTATGCGTTTTTAGAACGGATAGATCTGAGTATTTAGTAGTTAGTGTCATCTTGTGTTCCCCCAAGTTGTTAGCTGCCCATCGGTGTACCCCCATGTTTGTCTTTTTCATCAGTTGGTCGCTTAGTTCGAGATCAAGAGCACATTGCTCTCCAAACCTTGTGTTTTCAATCCCTACCCTGCCATCCATTTATTACAATTTGTTACCCCTAACCTCGAGATAGCCACGAGTAATCGGCCCACGCTTTACTAACGTTAGTTTTAAGAAATTTTGTCATCTAAACTATGAATATCGGCTCCGCAAAGCTACGGCAAATGAGCCTGGAAAAATAAACGCATTATAAAAAAAATGTGACTGGGTTTGGGGAGAAAGTTTATTTCATGAAAACAGTGATAGAATTATTACTTTTTATTTGCACATTTTTCAACAGTTTTTATGGCAAATTGAAAAAAAAAAAACGTTTTTATGAGAATTATTTCCTATCGATTGGTGTATTTGGATTTTAATTTCAGCTATAAATTACAAAGTTATAAGTGTTCAAAACCTTACACCTTTTCG